GTGGCGACGGGCGAGACGACGACGGTGGCAGACGAGGGGCAAGAGAGCGGCGGGCGGCAAGAATTCGTCGTCGCCAGCAACGAAACCTGGCCGAGCGACGTACCCGACGATGACGTCATCGACGACGACGCCGAGCCTGACGTCATCACCGACGAAATTCTGAACGAGGTGCGGCCCCGTAGCGAGACGACGGAAGACGAGGTCGACCGACGCATACCTGTCGACATTGGCTACGAAGATTATCCGCTGACGACGCCGACGCCGCGGCCCGCCGCCAGGGGGAGCAGCGCCGCGCCCGCAACGACCCCTAGCGTCGATACATCGTACGATGAAGCGAGCAACGCAACCATGGAAACCGACGACGCCACCGCAGACGAGGGGCAAGAGAGCGGCGGGCGACAGGAGCAGCAGCAGCAGGAGAAAACAGAGTTCAGCGGCAATTCATGCGATTACTGCGTGACGGCCGACTGTGTGGAAACATGTGAGTGTACTAACCCGCCAGCTAAACACGTCGCCATGGATACGTGACGCGCGCTCGTGATTAATCTATAATTTATGCTCGCAAACTACAAGATATCGGTAGCGAATAAAAACAAATTTTGTATTGATTTGATCGTTTTTACACCGTATATCGTTTTAGCCCGGTATACGTGTGACGACGTGCGCGCTCGTGAAAAAATAACCACGTAACTCTCGCTCGCTTTCTTCCATTTGCCTAATTCAGATTCACTGTATCTGTGTTAGTTCTTAGTCGAAATTCTTTCCTAGTGTTGCTACCTGGTGGCTAATGTGAGTACTAACCCGCCAGCTAAACACGTCGCCATGGATACGTGACGCGCGCTCGGGATTAATCGATGATTTAAGCTCGCAAATCACAAGATATCGGTAGCGAGTTAAAACCAATTCTATATTTATTAACTCGTTTTTATATCTCAAAGATATTGTGATGCGAAAGCGCGGGCGCTTTCACGGAACATCATCACCACAAATAACTGCCTCTTACTAACGCCAAAATCTATCGTCATCGTCCTCCACCCTCTCGCAGCGCATAAACTGATGCAGTACATTGACCCGTCCGTCGATCCATGCGAGGACTTCTTCGACTACGCTTGCGGAAGGTTCGAGAAGGTTCACACCATCCCGGAAGACAAGGCCGCATGCGACACATTCTCCCTCCTCAAGGACGACCTGGAACTTAAACTATTCGGTAAGGGTTAGGGGTAGCATCAAGAGTGTCCTAATATAAACTATATTATATATATATATATAATTATATATAATATATATAATATATATATATATAATTATATATAATATATATAATATATATATATATATCTAATATAGTCTATATGACGCTCCTGGTAGTATTTAGCCGCGTGGCCAGGCAGCAGACGCGCGTTGACATCGGTTCCCGTAGACAGACGCGCGCTAAAAAATGGTTAAATATAGTTTAACCTCATTAGAAATATGGCGATGGGTCTAGGTTGGCCTCTAGCGGGGCAATAACGTTGTAACCTATCGGTTTTTGTGGCCCTATATAACACATTGCTTAGATATGCGGCTATATTAAGATCAGTGGATCATAATATAGTGTCTATATTATGACACTCCTGGTAAATTAAGGTCTTACAACTCAATACACTCGATTTCGCAGTTTCTGGCAGTTCGTTCGGGTTGTTGACCAGCATTGCGTTTCAGTCGGTTTTTAATCACGGGTGAAATCTATCGTGCATTCCATTACATTGCATTACGTTATACATTCCATTACATTGCATTACAATACATTACGTTATACATTGCATTGCATTGCGTTACATAACGTTACATTACATTATATTACATTACATTACGTTACATTGCGTGCGTGTATTTGCTGACGTCATGGTATCGTTACAGACCTACTGGAAGACCCGATAAAGGAGGACGACATTGAGGCAACCCGCAAAGCTAAAGACTTGTACAAATCCTGCATGAACGAAGGTGAGCAGCATTAATAACACTTATCTGAGCATCACGTGCCATTCATTCATTTCATTCATTTTATTCATTCATTTATTCATTCATTTATTCATTTATTCATTTTTTCATTCATTCATTTCATCCATTCATTCATGTGATGATAATTTCTGCTTCACCGTATGGTAGAGGCCGAGATAAACTGTCTTGCATCGTGTCGCCATCTAGTGGGTACAAAATATGTCAACTCTATAACAAATGAATCATTCCAGATGTACACATGTATTGCACCTAATGCGATTGAGATTTGCGATTGATTATCAATTAAGGTGTTTGATTATCAATAGATTTTCAATTATCGATTGACGTCCGATTATCAATCAATGTGTTTGATCATCAATCAATATTCAATCATCTATTAATGTTCTATTATCAATCGATGTTCCATCGTCAATCAATGTGTTGGATAATCGATACGATCGATTACCCTATCGGCAGAGATGATTGAGACGCGTGGTAACAAGCCGCTGCTAGACCTGCTCGATGAGCTGGGAGGCTGGCCCGTGCTGGATCCGGAGTGGAGCGGCGAGGGCTTCGATTGGCTAGACCTGACGATAAAGCTGCGTCACTATAACAACGACATCCTCATTCAGCAGTGGGTCGGAGCAGACGGAGAAAACTCGTCCGTCAACATCATCCAGGTATCACCGTACGAGGATATATATATATATATAGTATGCATACATACGGCGGGAATAATGGCTTCACGTACCAGGGGGGGGGGCTTCTCAGAAAAAAAATTAATAGCAACATTAATTAAACACTAGTATTAACGTTGGTCCTAACATTATGTTTACTCATGGACCGTAATACCGTACGGCGGCAATATGGCTTTCAGGGCCGTAGCCAGCGGGGATTGGGCAAGGGGAGTTTTTTCTCCTCGCCCTAGAACAACGTATATATTATCAGGAGTGTATCATATAGAGAATTATGACTCGCTCGAAACACAAGAAATTCAACATTTCCATGCCATAGTTTACCTATGATTTATTACGTGAAACTCAATCAAAATTACATCAGAAGTAGCGTTGTACAATCCAACTTGCCCTCGCATTTTACTTTGTATTGATACTCTTTTGTTATTGTGTAGTTATAGCTTCGAACGTCAGCCATGGTTTTAGTCATTCACCTAGTCAAGCGGCAGGCGTGCCCGGCTGCGAAATTTTTTTTCCCACTTGAGTTCCGGACCCACCATAGATAGTGTTTTGTAATAAATGGTGCTTATATATATAGTTGGATAATTATAGATAGTGTTAGGGTTCGGTTACGTGTTAGTGTTAGGGTTAGGGTTAGGGATAGGTGGTATTTATTTTACATTGTTGCTTCGAAGAAGTCGAGTGAATGGAGTGCGCTGATTGGCTGTGGTCCGGAACTCAAGTGGGGAAAAAAAATTTGCTTCCCGGCTGATGCAAGTAAACAATAGGCAGCTTACGAAGAGACGCTGCAGTATTAGTAAACAATAGGCAGCTTACGAAGAGACGCTGCAGTATTAGCAAACAGTATTAGCACAGGCTAATAATTATTTCTAACGAAATACATTAATTCATTAAAGGGGCAAGTTCAGAGTTCCCGGTACGATATAAATATCAACTCTTGTCCCTTTACACTCTTAGCTTAGCAGAGCAACCAACCGCTCTCCCATCCTAACACACCTTCCCGTGTTGCTACTATACATAGCTCGACCAGACAGATCTCGGAATGCCGTCACGTGAATACTACCTGAGCTACAACGAAACCGAAGACCCCTCCCTCCCCGTAGAGAAGAAAGAACAAGTCGCAGCCGACAATGACGTCGACGACGGCGTCGCCGAGCAGAACGCGACCGCCGCGCCCTCTGTCGTCGTCGCCAATGCGACGACGGAGGCGGACGACGAACTAGCGCCTGCCGACGCGTACAGGAAGTTCATGTTGGATGTGACAGTGTTGTTGGGAGCCGACCCGGAGTTCGCTGTTGCTGAGATGAGGGATACGTTCCAGTTCGAGACCAGACTCGCTAAGGTGACGTCACGTCCGGCCGCCATTACGCCGGAGTTTCACACGCGTCACTTCCGGGATGATATTGTTGAAAATTTAAATTGAAAGCTTATATCGATGCCGCGATGCATAGCAAGATGAGTCTGCCTGCGTTTTAGGCGTATAGGCTTGGGCGTTTGTGTGTGTTTTAGGCGTATAGGTTTGGGCGATTGTGTGTGTTTAAGGCGTATAGGCTTGGGCGATTGTGTGTGTTTTAGGCGTATAGGCTGGGGCGATTTGTGTGCCTTTTAGGCATACAGAAGTAGGCGTTTATGCGCAAGCGTTTAGGCGTAAGACTAAACTGGCTATAGGATGGTATTACAATAGCCGCCATTACTGTAACAAGTTTACATCTGTCGCATTAATGACGCTTCATTAACGACATTCATCGCCGCACTACACACGAACACAAGGCCCCGCTAAAATATGTATGGCGTCTCGTTGACGAACTCTTTGACAGTCTGTTTTGCAAACACGGACTCTATTTACTTCACGACTAGAAATACGTATGTGTTTCTCGCGAACCTTTTGTGTGCGTATTTCAGCCGAATCATCAACGAAATTTTTTACTAAAAGCTTTCATCGATCTTACTCTGTTCATTTACTCTAGAACAGATATCAGTGTGTAACCTAATTACATACGCTATCCCTGCATACAGTAGCAACCGAGACAAACGACAGCTCTCTCTCTCTCTCTCTCTCTCTCTCTCTCTCTCTCTCTCTCCTGCTCTCTCTCTCTCTCTCTCTCTCTTATCGCTTCTCTCCTTTTTCTTCCCTCTCTCTCTCTCTCTCGTGCGCTCTCTATCCTTATCCATATCTCTCTCTCTCTCTCTCTCTCCTTCTTTCTCTATCTCTCTCTCTCTCTTCCCTCTCTCTCTCTCTCTCTCTCGTCTTCGCTCGCTATCATCTCTATCTCTCTCTCTCTCTCTCTCGCTCTCTCTCTCTCTATATATATATATATATGCCGCCTTTCATCATCCTTTTATAATGAGTTATAGCAGAATTTACTGTAACATTTCTCGGCGGGGCCATTCACGCATGTTGTGCCTGCTATCGCTGCAGATGACAATACCGCACCATCTGCGCAGAGATTTCTTTTCGATCTACAAGAAGATGAGACTGGCCGAACTGATTGAGAACGTTACAGAGGTGAAAACAACGACTATGTCGATTGTGGTGAACCACAGTTAATTGTATTTAATAATTAATGAAACAGAGTTAGTTGTAATTAACTTGCGCGCATGTTCGAGATTCTCACCGCGTCGCCTTTCGTCATCGAGACATCGGTGAAAATAGGATACGATTTGATATTCCACTTCAATTTATTAATTGTATTGCATTTATTACCTAATATTATTTATTTATTCATTTATTTACTAGACTGATTGTTTGTTTGTTTGTTTGTTTGTTCGTTTGTTTGTTGGTTGGTTGGTTGTGTGGTTGGTTTATATTGTCGAACCTTCTCTAAACGGTGATAGCTCGGCTATCGCCAACACTTGACGAATAACGACATTGCCGCCGGCGACGATTTACGACCGTTCACGTTTGCTACATTTAGATAGACTGGCTGCGCTACCTTAACTCCATCACCCCGTTCAACATAACGGAGGACGAACTCGTCGTTGTCTACGCCATGGACTACTACAAAAAGCTGGCCGTGGCCGTCGAAGAAACTCCGCCGAGGTAGGAAGATGGCCGCCCAGAGCCGCGCATGCGCATAGTACACGTAATGCAGACGCTGATCGGCTCTCTATTTCATTCTATTTCAGTTTTTTTTTTATTCTATTTTATTTTATTTATTCTATTTTTCTATTTGATTTCGTGTGTTTGCTCTTCGTCGCAATTATTTATTTTTATTTATTTATTTTATTTTATTTATTCTATTTTTCTATTTGATTTCGTGTGTTTGCTCTTCGTCGCAATTAAGGCCTTATGATTAAAGAACGTGTGTCGTGTTGCCAAGACACTGTTGTGTGGGATGCTAAGACTCCGCGTGCATATGCTATACACATCTCAGCTACTGTAGACCTCTTGCATCGCATAAATCTATTCATTCAATTTTTGCTTTTTTCTATTTATATTCTATTTCGTGCGTTTGCTCTTCGTCACAATCAAATTAAAGCTTTATGAATAAAGAACGCGTGTGTCGTGTTGCCGGTGGAATGCTAAGACACTGCGCGCACG